AACTTAGCAAGGCCCTAGGCAGCTTAACAAGACCCTATCTCAAAAATTAAAATATTCTCTGACTTACATTGTCAACAGCAGGTCACTAGACCCTCCTCATTCCAGAGGGGTCCTGCTCTGAACCCTGGAAGGGCAGCTGCCCAGAAAGGCCAAGAAGAATCTGGACAGGCTGTGTTTGCCCACATAGGCTATGAGCATTCAATCATAATGCCCATTTTGTCCAATCACATTTTGACACCATGTTTCTAGCATATGTATGTAATGAAGCCTTCATAAAAATCCCCAAAGACAGGATTTGGAGATGTTCTGGATAGCCGAATATATGGAGATTCCTGGGATTCCAACCAGAAAGGGCATGGAAGCTCCATGCTCCTTCTTTGTACCTCACCCTATTCACTTCTTCATCTATATCCATTATATATCCCCTTTCAATTATAATCCTTTATAATAGTCCAGTATACGTGTTTCCCTGAGTTCTGCGAGCCACTTGGGCAAGGGGTGAGTAAGAACCTGATTTATAGCCAATTGATCAGAAGCACAGGTAAAACAACTTGGGGCTTGTAACTGGCATCTCAAGAGGGGGTAGTTGGGGGAACTGAGCCCCCAACCTGCAGGAACCAAAGCCATTTCCACGTAGATTGAATTAGAGGACACCCAGCTGGTGTCTACTGCTGCAGAATTACATGCTTAGTGTATGGTAGAAGCAACCTATCATATGAGAAAGTCTGAGTTTTTCTTTGGGGTTTTATTTCTCCAGCACATCTGGTAATTAAAGGATTAGAATCATTAGGAAAGTGGTAAGCAGACTTTTTAGGTTTTTGTTGTTGTTGTTTTAGTTATAGGTGGACACAATACCTTTATTTTACTTATGTGGTGCTGAGGATGGAACCCAGTGCCTCACACATGGTAGGGAAGCGCTCCACCTCTGAGCTACAACCCCAGTCAGGCAAGCAGACTTCTAAGAGGCTTCCCTAGATTTCTGGTCCCTGGTAGAAACCACACATCATCTCCCAAACATCAACTAAATATTAGTTTGGTGCTGCTGTGAAAGAATTTTGAAGATTGATTTCAAATTAGTTGACCTTACATATGCAGGCCTGACCTAGTCATAGGAGCCCTTCGAATGCAGATTTCCTGACTGGTCCCAGAGGATCAGAAGGGCAGGAAGAAAGTGAACCCCAGTGTGGTGAGTGCACTGTGGGACTCTGTGCAACGGAACTGGGAGTGGCCTCCAAGAGCTGAGGCCCCAGCTACCTGGAAGGAAACCCGGGACTGCAGTCCCACAAGCAGCAAGTTTGGAAGAGAACCATGGGCCTTCCTGAGAACCACAGACCTGGCCAACATCCTGATTTTGGTCTGGCGAAACCCTAAGCAAAGAAACCAGTTATGCCATGAGGACATCTGACCCAGAAAACCTGTGAGATAATACATTCATGTTGTCTTAAGCCCCCAAGTTTGTGGTAATTTGTAATATAGCACTAGAAAAACAAATACACCAGTGAAATATGAAATAGCATCTGCCAAATTGCCAAGTCAGAAGCAGAACCCCGTGTATGGTTGTATATGTAATGCACCAACCTAAGGGAATCATTTACATGGTTGTCAATGTGCCTTCTGAAATTGCCCAGTGCACACTTGGCACAACTGTACCCAGCAGTCCTGCAGGAGACTCCACTCTTGCCCTATCCCAGCACCTGAGCCACCTCTTTTGTCCTTGGTGAAAATGAGAGGATTGGGTTAGATGTGCCCTAAGGGCCAGACAAGCTCAACTCTTGGGAGTCTTTGGTATATTTTGTGAATACTTTACCACACACTGGCCCTTCACAGTTCGTCCGCAGTTTTTTTTTTTTTTTTAACATTGATTTTTTAGTTGTAGTTGGACACAATACCTTTATTTATTTTTACATGGTGCTGAGGATTGAACCCAGGGCCTCGCACGTTAGGCAACCGCTCTACCGCTGAGCCAGAACCCCAGCCCTCCCATCTGCAATTCTTGACACTCTCAATTCCAACCTCTCCCTTCACTTGAAAAATCTGAAATTTCTTTCCCTTTCAATTAACAAGGTCTCTCTGAAGAGAATGGAACCTCAGCTTGGCCCGGGTGGGTTCTTGACTTTCAACACTGAGATTTCAGGAGGGAAGGTACAAGCAAAGATTTATTTACGCATAGCAAAAATGTACACACCCAAAGGCAGGGCATGGATACACCCTTCCTCAAAGAGAAAACCAGGACATGCCCAGGTTGGGCCCTGATTACCATAATTTTTTTTCTGGAAAGAAATGTGCAAGTTCTCAATCTTCTTTGAAAGTAAATTTCCATAAATGTGGGGACAAGTGCACGGAGTACTGCATACATGGCATGTTATGGGCATCATGAGTGGCAAAACACTCAGCCTTGCTAGGCTTGTGTGGGGCAAACTGCATCCCTGTAGGCACAGCCCTGGGAGTGAAGCCTTTGGAGCAAGTTCCTGTGCTTGCTCCAAAGCCCACTCCTTGATTGGTCGCTGCAAGGACAGTTAGCAGAAACTGCATTGGTGGCTGCCTGTAATCTGCTTAGCTACTGCCTGAGTATATACACATGGTAACTGTGCAATAAAATGAGACCAGCTTCCTGCTTGGTCTCCAGAGGTCTTGTTTAGCAACTCCGCAGCCACACTCTCCTCTACCCTGTTCCGTAGACCTCCTCGCTGGACGAGACACAGCCTACGCACATGAAAATCATTCTGTACTTGGGGTTCAGAATGTTGTTCTTTGGCCAAACGGTCGAGCCATCAATCATTTGTAGGCCCATTGTATAAGTCTTTGAATCTATGAAATTTAAATTAATCATGTTTTTGTTCTTATTGATCTGTTACAAACACACCGCAGAGGTTTTGTTTATCCAACAAAAGTTCCAGGTCTCCATCTACTAAGGGTCTCTTTTTCTTTCTTCCTGAGACCCCATCTATCTCTTGTCTAACTTTGGGCCATCTTCTTTCTCTTCTTGTTACTTGTGGTAACTTCATAAGAATGTCTGCCTGTAGTTTGTGCTTCTTCTTTAAAGCAGAAGTCCACATCAACAATTAATAGCTTTGAGGATGGAACAAACCAGAAGCTCCCTGGGGAAATCATAAAGAACCTTCCCTCCCCCACTTCCACTGTGATTTGAGTGAACTCAAAAGACGTTTAACTTTATGGGGTTCAGGAGACTTGACATCAGTGGTTAAAAGTTCCTTTCAATAGAATCCACCTAAGAGGGCAACAAGCCAGTGGACAGTAATTTTGAGAAAATGCTGACTTACCCATGTTTCCTAGGAAGGTAGCTAGCTAAGCAATGAAAAAAAGGTGACAAAACCCAGGAGTCTTTCAGGTGAATCTTGAATAATTATGTAAGAAAATGAGTTTGTCTCACAAAGAGACAAAAATTTTAGCTAGAATTTACCAGGACAAAAGTAAATTATTGAAAAGTAGGTAAATTAAAGCATCATGCTGCAAGGTAAGCAAAATTAGAACTTTAAAACAAGCTCACAGGGGCTGAGGCTATGGTTCAGTGGTAGAGTGCTTTTCTAGCATGTGTGAGGCACTGGGTTCAATTCTCAGCACCACATATAAGTAAATGGATAAAATAAAGGTCTATACATCTAAAAAATTAAAAATAAAATAAAAATAAATAAATAAAACAAGTTCAGAAATACTGATCAGTTCAAACTCATGCTCTCCATTTTTGCTCAATTATTCCCAATAGGTATTACTAGCAAATATGTATTACAAGCTGTGACGACTCCTTAGTGTAAGTTAAGGAGAAGACCTTAATCAGGCATGGCAGTACATGCCTGTAGTCCCTGCCACCTGGTAGGAGATCCAGAGATCACTCAAGCCCAGGAGTTCAGGACCCAGTTTTTTGGGGGGAAAAACAAAACAAAATCTTAAAAACATAGACTTGCCACTTAATATACCTTAACTCTATGATCCTGTTTTGACCACTTCAGAGTTTCACAAATATCCAATACCTTCATGTATGTGATATACCCTTACACAGTGCCAGGCACAATGCGTTTAATAAATGGTAGCTCTTAGTAGGACGGCAGCCCTCAGGTATAAGTTGTCCAACAGGACTGATACTTTGGGGAAGGGTGAACTGGTGTGATACTGGGTAGCAGCTACCAAACCTAGTAAAAGGACAGTTGAAGAAAGCATTTCTCAATCAGCCATAAAAGTGAAGAAAAATGGTCCAGCATAGTGGCACATACCTGTAATCCCAGTGGCTCAGGAGGCTCTAAGAAACTTAGTGAGACTGTCTCAAAATAAAATACTATTATCTTATATTCTTATGTTGTCTTATTCTTTTTTTTATTAAAATGTCTTTTATGAAACATTGGTAATAAATGAGAGATTTTTTCCTTTGCAGTACTGGGAAATGAACTCAGAGGTGCTTTATCACTGAATCTTTGTTATTTTTTCTTTTAAGACAGGGTCTTGCTAAGTTGCCAAGAGTGGCCTTAAACATAAAATTGACCTGTCTCAGTCTCCCAGACTGCTGGGATTACAGGCATGTGTCTGGTTGGTTGAGGCAGAAAAGTTGAGACCTGCTGATTTATATCAAATGAAGTCCAGGGTGTTTCCATAGGTTAATAGGCACATAGCTTAATATAACCTTGGTTAAGACCCAGGACTTCACTGAGGACCCAAGGGCAAGAGTGCCTTTTAATTCTTCCGTTTTCAAGGAAATAAATATAAAGATATACCTCATGATCTTTGAATATTTACAGATCCCTAAACTGAACTAAAAAAGCCCAGGATGAAACAGTAAGCCCCCAGCTGTGTAAGAGAGCTCAGACAAGCCAAGAACTGCCCAGACAAGTCACTGTTATTGAAACTACTCAATGATGGCCTGCCTTGTGCAACAGTAGGTAACTGTTGTCCCATCACTATCTAAATGCCATCTCAGTATTAAAATTGTCTTATGATATGATAAATAATTTCCCTTTCAAACATTTAATAAAGACTTTAAGAGAACAAAGAACCACAAATTAAACTGAATGTTTAATGCATTTGTAGGAATGGAAGGAATGCAACAGCATTATAATTTTATAACACATTAGACATTTATGTAAAAGATGTTTCATTTTTCAAAGTTTCTCCTATATCCTTCTTTTCCATCTTTCTCAGAGCAATAAACAGTAGTTACTTACTCTCATAGATAAACTGCTCCATTGTGTTGGACAGTAATCTTATCTTTAAGTTTCACATCATTATCATCTGTACTATTTCACAGTAAAACTTAATCCATTCAAATTAAAAGGACCTGAAGAATTAGAGCAAAGAGCAGTCAAATTCACGTGGATGATTGAATGCTAGAGGCCCAAGGACTTTAAGTACTGAGTATTTACTGGCACAAACCTATTTATTCATATTATTAAAACAGCAGTAATAGAAATTAAAGCTACTATAATGAAAATGGAACTCAGGAATGAGGTCATTAAATATAACTAAGTACATTTTAAATATAAATACTATGTATTTCCCAGTAAGTATCAGATAAATAAACTCTCTATCCAAAATTCTAGTTTCAGAGAAAAAAGTCAGAGACAATTACAAAGAAGGTGCTTTGTGTCATCAGGTCCATTTTAAAAACATTTGCGATCCTTTGGAAAAGTTGCATTAGTCTTTCTTTTTATCATAGGTTCCTGTTGGTCCTTTTGTTGGTAATCCATTTCTGTCAGCACCCTAAAATGAAATAAATATTTAAAGAATTATTATAAAAAAAAAGATACTAAAAAAAAAAAAAACCAAAACATTTTCTTTAAAAACACACAACTTTAGAATGAAACAATTTTGTTTCCAGAAATGTGCAGGATGCCTAAATTAGTACAACAGAATACAGTCAAAGTTGAACTTAACAAGCACCAATGCTAAAGGCAACAGAGTTGTCTAAATATTAATTTTCAAATACCTTCAGTTTGTCTTGGCCATAAGGCAAAGGACAAATGCACTAATCCTCTGTCTAATTTAAACCTTTAAGTTAAATGTTAATTACTTGAGAAAAACTATTGAAGCTTCTGGCTCCAAAAACTTGTTCTTCCAAAAGCCAAGTGTTAACTCAAGTATCACCCCTTCACTGCCCTTGTTCAAGGCATTTGAATGTTCTTACCTTGCAGTCTACTTTGCCTTTGTTTTTATCATTGGATTCTTGTACAGCTTTTTTAGGCCATATGCGACTAACAAAGGGGGAAATCATAGGGTATATGTATGGCTCCAGGAATTTTTTGTAGATCCAGAGAAGAACAGGAATGACAATACAAGGAATGCACACCATTGTCCCAGGCTCAAGCTCCGAAACTGTTGATATATGTGAGGAAAACATTAGTTACCAAAGATTTAATGGCTAAAGAATTTTACTTACAGTAACATATCTGAAAGGGCGGGGTGTAGTAGCACATATCTATGATCCCAGCTACTTGGAAGGCAGAGGAAGGAGGATCACAAGATCAAGGTCAGCCTCAGTAACTTAACTTTCTCAAAAAAAAAAAAAAAAGGGGGGGGGGGGGGGGGGGGGGTATAGCTCAGTGGTACAGCACTCCTGGGTTCAAATCCCACTACAAAAGACAAGAAAAGAAAAGAGAAGAGAGGAGCAAAGCCCCCAAAGGACTCTTTTTTATAGTGAAGGGGAAAAGTTTAAAACCATTATTTCTTTCTTTTTTAATATTTTTTAGTTGTAGGTGGACACAATACCTTTATTTATTTATATGAGGTGCTAAGGATCGAACCCAGTGCCTCACACTACCATTACCACTACCACTGAGCCACAACCCAGCCCCTAAAACCATTATTTCTTAAAACAAAGTTTATTAAATAAAAATGCTGCCATCTGCAAGGTAAAGGAATAAGATGTAGACATGAATAATGAGATGCCAGCATCCAAACCTTTTCGATCACTGCTCCCCAATCATAAATTTGATGATAAAAGAAGACACCAACTCTCAATAGGTACAAATAAGTTTACATACACTAACTCATTTAATCCAGGAGGCTGCGTACCCTTGCTATTTCCACTTACTGATACAGAAGGAACAAAGACATCATGAAAGTGTAGAGTACACTGAGTGTGAAATAACTTCCAACCCCAATATTCAGGGACTGACAATATCAATTACCCAAACCTTATAACACTAAAGGCAAATTCTGTAATCAAGACATTACTTTGGAAGACCTTGAGGCTACAAATCAACTGGCCTTTACTAGGCAACAACTCTTAGATATGCTTTGTTTTTCTTTCTTTCTCTTTTTGTGGTGCTGGGACAGAACCCAGGTCCTTGAACACATTAGGCAAGCCATCTTCAACTTAGCTATACTCCCAGTCCTGTTTTTTTTGGTTTCAAGGGCATGAATTAAGGTGTGCTGAAAAATAAAAAATCTTATTCAATATTATCACATAGGTCAATTTCTAAAAGTTCATTTCTAAAAGTTAACATGGCCAATTTCCTTGGTAATTATGAATCCTATTGGAATTTCTGAAAATCACCAATTTCTTGAAAAAAGGCCCAATAACAGTTACATAACACAATTAAATCAAAAGATCTTTTAAATTTACAAGAATTTTTACTCCTCTAAGAGTAGGATGCAGAACCTTAAATAAAAAGTAAGCAGTTTTAAAACAGTGCACAAGGCATAATTCAGTATTTTAAAATTTCTAATTTTCAAAATATTGTAAATTAAGCAGTGTTGACTGGCAAATAAGTCAGCACCATGAGTATACTATTCAATTTTAAATTGTTCACAATACAGGTAGAAAATAATGGTATGGATAATCCAATCTGAATGTGCCCTTGAAATGATTTAAGATGGAGATGAAAATTTACATCAAGGAATACAGCTATTTTACAAAGGACCCATTAGATTCTTTGAAACAATCCCCTAGTCAAAACAACACTTTAAGTGAGCTGGGGCTGTAGCTCAGTGGTAGAGCAGCCTGCCTAGCATGTGTGAGGCACTGGGTTCCATCCTCAGTACCACATATAAATAAGTAAAATAGAGATATGTGTCCCATCTACAACTTAAAAAAAAAAAAAAAGCACTTTAAGAATCTACAAAAGTAACCTGTTCCAAAAGTTTAAAGAACATATTCTCTGATTAAAGTATGACAAACTAGCCAAGCACGGTGGCACAAGCTGTAACTCCGGCTCCCTGGGGAGGCAGAAGCAGGTGGATCCTGCTAATTCCAGGCTAACCAGGGCAACTTGGTAAGATCCTGTCTCAACCTAAAAAAAAGTAAAAAGGCTGGGGGGAATGCAACTCAGTGGTAAAGCTTCCCTGGGGTTTAATCCCCACCCAGTATGGGAGGAAAAGGGACAAAAGAAAAAAGGCATACTAGTGCTGATTCTCGGAATTTTTCAAAGGACCATTATTTTTGACCACACATATTTAGAATCTGATCTGAGGACATTTCAGAGGTAATCTGGTTTGGGTCTTGAACGTTCTTTCAGGTACTACTACAGTACTACTTTGGCTGGCAGTTACCTGGATTTGAGAGGGGCATGACCACTTTCTCGGTGACATTTCTGCACAAATAATTTAACCCAACAGTGCCTTAATTTTTTCTATGTAAAATACAGACAATGATAGTATCACTCTTCAGGAATGCAATGTAGGCCAGATTGTCTGCACATATTGTAACTTACGTATTATTTTTAAAAGACCAGAAAAACAAAAAGCTCAAAAGTTGTGACCTGTCCAAAGTTCATTGTAAACAGAGTTAAGACCAGAATTTCCAGTTCCAGTTTCCCAGCTCAAGACTACTGCCTTTTCCCCTTTGAAAAAACACAATGATCATGTTCTCCACCTTCTACCAAACCTTCAAAACCAAGCGACCCCTTTCAAAACAATGGGTAATACTCCCAATACTAGGTTACACTGGAGACTGGCAATCCTTTATGAAGATTCATTTTTACCTTTGAGGTTGTCTTAAGTAAGATCGTTCACATTATGTTGTAAATCAACTCTCTCGAAAGCAAATGCTACTAACCACTTACGTTACAATTACAGCTTTGATGAATTTTAGCTCTTTTTATAAAGAAACTACTTGTATTTTATCGTTTAATCTTCATAATGATTCGCTACAGGAGAATGTGGTTTTAGAAAAGTCTAGAAGGTGGCAAGGAGAGACTCATTTGAACTATTCTCCAAAACAGCAAAGCGAGCAAATTGAATTAGAACTGCTGCAGAGGAATCACCTTTCATTCGACTCGGCCCAAGATGACAATGGAACAGAGAGGAAAAGGCCAAGGCTCCATCAGAAATAGGTCAGGTAGGGCGGGCCAGAAAGCCAACTCGTTCGAAGAAACCCTGAGACTGAGTCAAAGACAACTGAAAAGACCGAAGGGAAAAGCAGGGTCAGTGGCGAGGATTACAGAAGGGAAGCGACACGGACATCACCAGGCCAAGGCAGAGAACGAACCGGCAAGGAGAAAAGGAGCTGCAGGACCAAGGCCCGGAGCGGGCGGGTGGAAAGGGCGCGCGTGGGGAGCTAGAGTACCGTGGGGCCAGGCGGAATGTAGCGAGAGCTCAGGCCGCCGCAAGGCTCCGGGCAGGGCGGTCAGGCGAGCCGGCGAGTCGCGCACTGGCCGAAGGCTCCTGAGCGCCACCGGGAAGAGCCTGTGGAGCTACTCGAAACCGCCGCGGGAGCGCAGAGGACAGAGCGCAGCCTGCCCGGCGCATCCAAGCCTGGTTCACCGGCGACGACGAAGTCACCAAGGCAAAGCCCGCACTTCCGGGGGGAGGGACAAGCTGCCGCCTAGCCAATGGGCACCTCTAAAGGGGCTGACAAAGGGTGCTGCGTCAGCTTGAAGACGCACGGGACGTAGTGGAGACGCGGAGCGGGACTCGCCCGGACTACCGGCGCTACCGTCCAGGACCTGAGCCTTCAGGCCCGGAAGTACAACCAAGCTCTGTAGGCGGCCGGTAGATGCAGCTCCTTTCGGAAGAATATTTGAGCTAGGGCCTGTTTCAGAATGCAGAATTCAAAATACGGATTCTGGAAATATCGCCTGTCAGTGGCCGCCACACACAGGAAATGTTACACCACTCGCACGTAATAGGCTGTTTGCAGGCCCACCTGGCTTAGGCTATTTGCTCAGCAAATTTAAGCATCTTAAATGGAAGGGCAGGAGATTTGGGAGTAAACGTTAAACTTAAGGGGATAGGGTTGTAGCTGAGTGGTAGAGCAAGTCCTTGCCAGACGGCTCAATACCCAGTATCAAATGGGTTAATAGAAACAGTTGCTTTTCAGGGAGCTTGCCGACGCTGTCGCAGGGGTGGATCCTGTGCTGCCGAAGCCGCCGTCCTGCTCCTACGTACGGGTTCTTCTAATCCCATTGTTTCTTTTAGATTCGCTCGGGCCTAGTCGCCCTCGGAGCCCGATATACGGGCTGGGGGGTACCGCGGCCTGGGCCTAGGGGCTTAACCGTAGCAATAGCAGCAGCGGCGGCAGCACTAGCAGCAGGAGCACTATCAGCAGCAGCACTAGCGGCCAGCAGGAGTAGCACTAGCAGCAGGAGCATCACTAGCGGCTGGAGCACTATCGCCAGCAGCAGCACTAGCGGCCGCCAGCAGGACTTTCAGCAGCAGGACTATCGGCCTCAGGACTATCGGCAGCAGGACTATCGGCAGGAGCACTAGCGGCAGGAGCAGCCAACTGACTCCGCACAAGTACTACAGGCACCCAAAAGGCCGCACAGGCGTTTAGAGAAAATGGCAGACGATATTGATATTGAAGCAATGCTTGAGGCTCCTTACAAGAAGACTTGCCTAACGATATCTCACCTCTACTCCCATGAATTCACCTTTGATTCCAATGTGAACTGTCAATCATAAGGATGAGAACAAGTTGAGCAGTGCTAACGGTCATGAAGAACGTAGCAAAAAAGCTCAAACTACCTCAGTCATTCTCACAACAGCTTTGTTAGAATACTTTGCATTTAAAATTTAGATCTTCTTACATGGAAGAGGTCAAATCCAGTTATAGCAAAATACCTTTACAGCAGAGGCCATACAACCAAAAGGTCCAAAGGCCCAGACCAGTGGACCATTTACTTCAATGATGCTCAGTACAAAATTCCACCCCCACTAAAGACTTTGGAAAGTCCCATTTAAGTTGTAACAGGATTTGACTATTAGTATGGATTTTGATAACAGTTCTTTAGTTAACCTAACACGTATTCTTTGAAGCTGGAATTTGTTACAGAGAAGTATACTGGTTTCTTATATAACTTTTTGTCTGGACTTTTATGTAGAAGATTATGTTTCCTTAATGTCTTAGTACATTGTTGTCTTTTTACCTGTCGGGTTGCCTTCAGATGTGGGTAGGAACTCATTATTTACAAAAAGTCCTAGGAAGATCTTAAGTTAAAATTAGCTCTCTGATTTTTGAAGTCTTTTCTTTGGCAGAGTACATTTTGGGGTCTGTGAGAGATAAATATAGAGGTTGGCTACCTGTGCTATGGGCCATCTGTGAGGAGAGAAAATCTTTATTAATAGTGTCTTTTGTGGGGAATAAAATACTTTTTATCGTGTCCCCTAATTTGAATTATGTATGGTTATAAACACATACTTTTGGTTTTAACCATCTCACAGAATTTTATAAGAGATAGTGGCAGGTTTTTGAGGCAAATGGAATGTTATCTGTTGCCCTTCTGGGCATTGCTTTGACTTCTTTATAAATAATGAGTGTAGCCTAATTTTCTATCATGTGCTGCCTAGCATATACATTTCTGACAGTCAGGTGGATTATCTTGAAATTTTAGACAAAGTTTCTGCCTCCTTGGAAAGCTCTACATCTCCTTGTGATTGGAGTGTGGGTTTCAAGATTCCAGAAGGTGGGTGTCTTCATTTTCTATTTTCAGTGCACTCTAAGGTGACCTGCTTATGGGTTCTCTGTGGCGGACCTCAGTTGCTCTTATGCTAACTACTTTGATAAGGACTCAACAGTTAAGTAAATTTCCAGATAATGATGTAGCATTCTCAGTATTCAATCTTTAAACCACTACACATGGACATTTTAGTGGAATAAATTTTATTTTGAAATGTCTTTTAATTTATATTGAAAATCTGAAGGCACCTCTAATTAGATGATGACACAGATATAGATTGTAAGATTTAATTATGAAATGAAGGGTAGAATACTGTGAAGAATTTTGAAATGAACAGATATATATATATAACGATTTTTTTTACCTTTCAGAGTTTGAGATTTTATAAAGATTTGTGAAAGTCAAGTTGATTATTTTATTGCACTCCACAGGCTTGTGTAAACTGGTGTAAAAATGGCATTCTCCATTTTCTGGTGTATTTATTACAACTTTAAATTTTAAGTATTTTAAATGGTCACTTGAATGTCTAATAGTTTCAAAGTGCATTCAACTGCATTAGTTCTAAGTGTCCTGTTATTGTTACTTTATGAAAAGCAAAATGTTGATGCCTATGTTGCCCTTTGAAAGTATAAAATGTTCTGTAAATTGTTTAAAAATGGACTTAGTATTATGAAAATTTTTATGTGAACAACTACTATTACTCATGGATTTATTGTAACTTGATTTTAGTACTTTACCTTGTGGATTATAATAATGCTTATTAGATGGTTAACATGAAAGTTTTACTAAAATGCTCAGGTTTTTCTTGTACCTGGCAACTAGTCCTATTTCTCATTAAAGCTGTAGCGGACTCAGGAAAAAAAAAAAACAAAAACGGTTGTACCACTTCATCACCTTTAGGATTGTTACCTGAAATTTTGTACTGGTAAGAATTTGGAACCACTGCTGGTGGGAATGTCTTTTGACAGTTCCTCACCATGTTACTGGGATCATCTTATGATCAAAAAAGAAATGCAAAAATGCCTACACAAAAACGTGCACACAAGGCTTTGCAACACTATTTGAACAGCTACTGTTCAGGAATTGATTATATGGAATACATGCCATAATACACACAAACCCCCAAAACATGCCGTGAAATCCAAATCAGACACTAACTCAATTTTCATGAAATGTTAAGAGGCAGATCTATACAGAAAATAGATTAGTAGTTACTTAGGGATCAATAGGGGAAATGGAGAATGAGTTAACTACTGTTAAGACTCTTTGATGGGTCAGGTGTGATGATGCATGCCCATAATCTCAGCAACTGGTAAGCATGAGGCAGGATGATTCCAAATTCAACACCAGCCTCAGCAACTCAAAATAAAAAAGGCTGGGACACAGCCAGGGTTAAGTCCCCAGCACACACACATAAATTCCTTTATGGGACAAGGAACAAATTCTAAAATTGATTGTAGTGATGGAGTACCTCACTGAACAATACCCTTTATAAATGGGTGGACTATATGGCATGCTAAATCTCAAGGCTGTTTAAAAAATACAAAGTTTCAGAAATTTCCCCATATTATATTTTATACAAAGGATCTCAAGAGAATTAAAATAGCATATTTTGGACTATCCTAGCTACTTCAGAAGCTGGAGGATGACTTTGATCCTAGGGGTTCAAGGCCAAAGACCCAAAACAATTTTAGTTTATGACTTCTGAGAATACCCAAAATACTTGCTAGGCCCTGGGTTCAATCCCCAACACCACCACACAAACATAATAAAAGACAACCAACATCCTTTTATTTGCATTTATTTTTTGTTGAATTTATTCCCGTGCCATAAGTTTTTGTTTCTTTAGCTTCTTCTGGGATATCTGGGAAAGGAAAAAGAAAAAAAAAAATTTGAGATTTCAGGGACATGTATTTAAAGTGGCTAGGGAAACCTAAGTGGGACCACAGATGATTATATGCATTTGATATACTGACTACAAAATTATTATTTATTGTTTAGGCAAGAAACAAATTAGGGTCATGAAAGCCAAAATAAAGTGTTAAAAGGTTGCTCAGAATACTTCCTTTCATGGTTATTCCAAAGGTGTCCTAAGATGGTCATCATAGCAACCATAGATCTTTCTAAAGTACATGAACAAAATCAAGCTATTAAATAATTACCTTTTTCTTCTGTGCAACCTCCTCTTCTGGTTTAGGAACAATTTGTTCCTTTTCAGTGAGGATCATCTCAATGTGGCAGGGGGAACTCATGTATGGGTTAATCCGACCATGAGCTCTGTAAGTACGACGACGCATCTTGGGTGCTTTGTTGACCTGGATATGTTCAATGACCAGAGAATCTACATCTAAACCCTGGCAAGAGAGGGAGAACAAAATAAGGTAACATCTTTCACGGTCTTAAAGCTACTAACTACATTATTGGGAAATACTAATTCCCAACCAATACCCCATCCATGTCTGAATAAAATCATTTTTGAAAGACAATCCTTTAAGATCTTCAATGGTATATTTTTTCAAGACCCTCTCTGCTTTCTGAGTTATCACCATAATGATGTTCTTACTGTGCTAGAGTAAGTGCTCTACCACTGAGTTGTATCCCCAGTTTACTATCATGTTTGTGACCACCCTATGCCTATAATCCCAAGTTATGAGAAGGCTGAGGCAGGAGCTTCTCAAGTTCAAGGCCAGTCTATAACAACTTGGACAGTCAAAAAGGTTGGGGATGGTGGTGGCAGCTGAAGGATGTAGCTTAGAGGAAGAGAACAATGTACAGCCAGTTTCTACACCCTGATATAACCACTAATAAGGCAATCATTTTGATAATTAATCATACTACCAAAAGGTTCATGGCACAAGAAAAGTTACAGCTGTTGGTAGATTTTTATGAAAATCTTTAGACAAAATTTTGGACTGCTGGAGACAGAGAAGTCTTTAGAATATTTAAATGAGAGATTTAATCAGAGCAAAGCAATGATACAAATCTGGCACAACACTTAATTTGCATATACACATAAGGAGGCTTACGGTTTGGGTACCTTAAGTTCAGCATTACTCTCTGCATTTTTAAGCATGTGCAGCAAAAATTCAGCACTCTTTTTGGGCCACCGGCCCTGTGTCCAGCCCCACTGTTTGGCCTGAGAAAATGAAGGAATGTGATTAGTAACTTTCCACGGTTTAAATGAACATTGGAACCATGATGAATCTATTTTATCTAATATCAAGGTTGCTCAGCACATGGTTTATTTCATGGTTAATCCAAAGGTGTCCTAAGATAGTCATCACAGCAACCAAGAAAGCTTGACAAAGGCAGATTCTAGCCACAATTATCCCAGCCAATCACCTTTCCTTACAATTTATATTTTCAAATAGCCACTAAGAATTCTCACCTGGGCACACCTCCCAACTCCACCATTGTAACGCCGGAATGGCACGCATTGCTTCTTTAATGTGACATCTTTCAGGTACTTGGTGGCTTTTCGGATATGCATACCCTTGATGGCTTGCGCAGTTTCACGGGTGTTCTAAATACGAGTAATGAAGTTTTGGTTAGCGTAATCTTTAAAGCAAACATTTAAATTCCAACATCCAACTACTTTCTCAAGGATTCTTTGGTACTTTTATTCAATTTCAGAAATCCTGAATCAAATTGCTCATTATACAATGATAATCAATATACAAGTAAAGGGTAGCTGCTCAGAATGTATTAGTTTTCATGGTAAATCCAAAGGTGTCCTAAGAAAGGCATCACTGCAGCTTCCTTTAAAGATGAGCAACACTAGAACATGTGGAAAACTTAGATTGCATTAGGAGTCTCATACCTTAAAGTGAACACGAAGATTTGAGCCTCTTGATTTGCATGCTAGAATATTAAAAAAAAAAAATTTTGGTTAATTTCTGGCTATACTTTTATGCTTACCCCCAAGTAGAAATTATAGATCTATGTCCTATTCACTTACATTTTGTGGGGTTTTCCGGGTCAAGAGAGTAGCGGACCATTTTCACAGATCACCTGGAAGGCAGCACCCCATACTTGTCAGTAATAGATACTTAAGGGTAACTGATGAACTTTAAATAACACAGTGTTAAGTGATATTAGAAGCTGCTCAGAGAATAGTTGTTTTCATGATTAATCCAAAGGTGTCCTAAGATATGCCATCATCGCAGCCGTCCTTTCCCTCCACCCTGTCCTTTCTTCTCTTCCCTCTGCATCAACCAACCACTACGGCGCTGATTACACGAATAGTGATTTGGACCTCCAATCAACCCTCTCCCTTCCCCTTTAGAAGAAAACAGCCAGTTTTGATCTAAACGTGGGTCTTTTAGACCTAAGACGCCGCCAATGCATGGCATTTGACATAGCAAAAACCAACTCCGGATCCTCTCCGCCCTCCCTCCCTCTTTACAGAAACCCCTTCATTCACACAGCTTCACAGGAACAGCTTCCCACACCACAGACTTTACACTATCACCCACGTTAGGTAGGAGCCATCCAATTTGCAGCACTTAACTGAGAAGGGTTTGGTTTCGATCTGCCTTTATTCCCTCAAAACTTTCTCGCATTGCGGCCACAAATGCTCCGCGTACTGGCCACCACTCACCGCGGGACACTGGACCTCCACAGTCGGAGTAGACACGGAGGGCAGCTGCCCGTACCCCCACCAGCCGACGAGCTTCTCCCTCCCCCCGTCCCCCATCCATCACGTTCCTCTGCAGCTCACAGAGGCCTGCCGGCCGGGGAGCACCAAATCGGGCACTCTGCCACGTCTCCTTGCACAGAGAAACATCGCTTCCAGCAAGAAATCGTAGCCCTGGGAGTTTTCCTCCCGGGGTCCTTGACGCCCGCATTCCAGAGGCCAGGATGGCGGTGATGACCGGAGGATTGAACACTCGTACCTAGACTCTAGAGATGCACTCACCTCAGGCCGCTTACAGGAAGAGGAAGAGCGGTGGCTTCTGGGAGAATTCATGAAAACTCGACCTCTCGCGAGATTTCAGGATAAAAACCGAGAACTGGGAGGGCAGAAAGGGAGTGTGGGATATGATTTGAGAATGCTTGGAACGAATGCCAGTCTCCTTAGAGACTGTCTCAAATTTCTCTTATTTATTTGGTATCCAGAAATAAAGTTATGGGTTTTAAATATCAGTCAACTAAGTCAGGCTTGTAGTTCTAGGTTAGAAACATGTTACTAGACGTGAACGAGAGATATTGTTTAGTCGAGAACATTCGTTAGGTTTGATTGTGCGATCATATACTACTTGAAAGTAATTTATAAACGTAATTCAGAAGAAAGAAGCCGGACGTGGTGGCGCATGTAATTCCAGCGACTCGGGAGGCTGAGGCAGGAGGATCGCAAGTTCAAAGCTAGCCTCAGCAACTTAGCGAGATCCTTTCTCAAAATAAAAAATAAAAAGGGGACTGGGTTTGTTTCTCAGTGCTAGAGTGCTCACCTAGCCCGCATAAGCCACTGGGTTCCATCCTCAGCACCATATAAAAATAAATAAAGATATGAAATAAATAAAAAAGGATGGATATGGGGCTCAGTGGTTAAGCACCTTTGGTTTCAATTTAAAACAAATCCCAGATATATATCTCCTTTAATTTTTTTTTTTTTTTGGTTGTTGTTGTTGATGTTGTTTGTTACTGAGATTGAGTCCAGGGGAGTTTTTTACTGAGCCACATCCTCAGCCCACACTTTTTTTTCTTTTTTTTTTTTTTTTTTTTTTGGAGATAGGATCTTGTTAAATTGCTGAGGCTGGTCTGGAACTTGGGATCCTCCATCTTAGTCTCTTGTCGCTGACATTACAGGCGTGTGCCACTGTGCATGGCATTTGCAAACAATTCTTTTTTCTTTTTTCTTTTTTTTCCATTTTTTTTTTTTAGTTGTCTATGGACACAATACCTTTACTTTTTTTTAGGACTAATGTTAGCACTCCATCTTGGCAAGGACATTAGGAGATAGAAATCACTTTTTAGGCTGGGTACAGCAGTGCATGCCCATAATCCCAGTAATTACAGAGGCTGAGGCAGGAAGATTGCAAGTTCAAAGCCAGCCTCAGCAACTGAGAGAGACTCTTAAACTTGGCAAGACCCTGTCTCCAAATAAAAAATTTTTTAAAAGTTTGGGGATTTAGCTCAGCCATAAAGTGACCTTTGTTTGGGTTCAATCCCTATTACCAAAACAAGAAAAAAGAAACACACACACACACAACACACACATATATATGTATGTATTTTTTAGTTGTAAGTTGACATAATATCTTTATTTTATTTATTTATTTATATGTGGTGCTGAGGATTGAACCCAGGGCCTCGCATGTGCTAGGGGAGCGTTCTACCACTGAGCCACAACCCTAGCCCCACACTTTTTAAGTTATAACAGTGCATAGCACAGTAGTCATTAAAGTCACTCATGTGCAAACAAACATAACACGGAGCAAAAGAGTATTGTATTATAAGATTCCATTTGTATATATACTTTAATATTAATAGCTCATTTCATATAATGTAATGATTGTTTTGGCATGTCATTGTCACAGGGCATGGGCCTGCTGCCAGGCTAAGACAGCCTTGGCAGTCCTTTCTCACCCTGATTCTTGCCATCAGGCCAGAAAGATTTCATTACAGACATACCACTCAGATAGCAGGCATGAGTTTTATTAGAAGGGATTGAAAAAGGGAAGAGGAGTACTCCCAGAGGAGGAGGACCACATCGCTTGCCCCTCCCCACTCCAGTTGTTTGTTTTGTGCTGGGGATTGAACCTGGGGCACTCTACCACTGACTATCCCTAGTCCTTTCATCATGGGAGAAGAAATGTCTCCAGAGAAGGGTCCTAGGAGTTCTCAGAGGGAAGTGGGAATTCAACTCCGGGCCAGAGGGGTTGTTGGCATACCTGACAGAACAGAATTTCAGCATGAGCCAGACAAAGACATAGACAGAGGTTTATTTAGGAAGTAGATACACATTCAAAGGAGAAGTGGGCTATCTCCAGGGTGAGAAGCCCAGCCTGTGTTGGGAGTCCAGTACTTAAAAAAGGGCTGTATCCGGGGCCGATCTGGAGCCAGGGTGAAGCTGCACTGTTTCATGCCAGTTTTCCCTGCACTTGTGTATTTCCCTCATTTTACAAGGGTATGGGCCAAATGCCTGCTTTTTCAAGATTTGCAGCTCAGCTTTCTGAATCTCAATGGCTCAAGGAGGTTTCCTTTAAGACTTAGTATATCTCTCCATGCTAAATCGCTATTTCACTTTTTTTATTTTTTATTGAGACAGAGTGTCACTAAATTGCTGAGGCTGACCTCAAACTTGCTATCCTCTCGCCTCAGCTTCCCCAGTCACCCGCCCTCCAGTCTTCTTGGGGGGTCCCAGGGAAAATTCTAAAATCCCATTCAAATTCGCCTCTTGACTTTTGACTGACAGAAGGATGACATCAGACTTTCAAGTTTCCACTGTTTGTGACAACTCTAGGTCGCTTTGGCCCATGTTTACCAGTTCTAATTGAAATGTGTCCCTTTTTTAGCGGGGGATTAACTGGAGATTGAACTCAGGGGCATTTGACCACTGGGCCACATTTCCAGCCCTATTTTGTATTTTATTTAGAGACAGGGTCTCACTGAGTTGCTTAGCACTTTGCTGTTGCTGAGGCTGGCTTTGAACTTGTGATCCTCCTGCCTCAGCTCCTGAGTCATTGGGATCACAGGTGTGTGCATCATGCCTGGCTGAAATCTTCTGTCCTTATAGATTTTATGGGTAGGGGGAATTATCCTTATCTCCCTGAGCTCTGGGATCTGGTCTATATATAGGCCACAAAAATCATTCCCACTTTCAGGGTAACGTGTTTTTTTTTTTTTTTTTTTTTTTTTTTGGTGGTGGTGGGGTGGAGAACCAGAGGGACTTTAATTGCCAAGAGTACAGGATAAAGGAAATCCACACCTATAATACCAGTGGCTCCAGAGGCTGAGGCAGGAGGCTGAGGAGCTCAAAAGCCTCAGGAGGTTAACAAGATCCTGTCTCCAAATAAAATATGAAGAGGGCTGGAAATGTGCCTTAGGGGTAAAGTGCCCCGGGTTCAATTCTCATTATTCCCCCACCAAAAAAAACAAAAACCAAAAACAAAACGAGAATGTTTTAATATTCATGAGGGAGTTGATGAAAACCGAAGGTAGTACACAAGCCTGCAGAAGCTCACAATACTGAGTGTCGAGGGTGCAGGGCACAGCCCCCTAAAGAGCTCTGGGGCAGCATCAAGGGAAGGAAGTGGATCCAGGAACACCCATTCCACTCCTAGACCAGAAACCCAGACACTTGCTTCCAGGTGACTGAAATGACAGGTGGGGACAACAATCAGATGCGAAAGTAGCCAGAGTGAGGATCTGCGGGACCTGCGGAATGTGGCAGGCGTAGAACCCATATACATTCAGGAATCTCCTGGACCTGATTTGTCCGTGTCCTCTTCCTCCTGGTCTGAAGATGTGGCGACAGAGACTCGGAGCTTTCGAAGCTATATAGAGCCTCACAGGCTGGCCCCCTGGCCCACTGGGGCCCTGAAGCTGGGTTGCTGCTGATGGGACGCCCTCCTGTGCGCTGCCCGCAGGCCTGGCCTGGACTGGAGAAGCAGGGTTGGTCCTCTGGGAAGAAATCCTAAGGACTGATTCTCAATAACTTGTCCAATCACATTGTAGAGAGCAGCTGTAAATAGTTGGTCAGCAAGGCAAATAGGATAGCATGGCACAGCATATTAGATAGATCCTATTGCCCTATATTACAGATGAGAAAATTGAGGCTTTTGGAGGTTAAATCACATACTGCTGAGAGTTAATAATTTGAATTTGTAGCCAATTTCTTCTTTTTCACTGTGATTTTTTTGTGTGTCTGGAAACTTCATCCATTGGAGCTACCTCTACTTTTGACAAGATTAGGTATATTCAGGATGGTATGTCTGCAGGCTACCTCTACTCTCAAGAGTAGGACTAAATGTGCATATTTTAAAAATGTCTATTTTAGTGCCTTATAGTAATACATAATAGTGGATTTCTTTTGACAGACATATTCATAATTTGCTCCATAATTTGTTTCATTTCAATCTCTGGGACATCTCCCTTCCCTTTCCCTGACCCCCTCCTCCCACTCTACTTGTATTTATTTATCTTGTGTTTATTTATTTATTCTGTGTTTATTTATTTTGTATTTATTTAATATTTATTTATTTATATATAAATCAGTGTATCAGTGTATTATAGTTAAATCAGTGTATTATAGTTACAGATAAAAGCTGAATTCACCATGATACACTCATAGCATTAATTTGGTCAATTTCATTCTGAAGTTCTTTCTCTTTATATTAAATACAAATGTTATTCTGTAAGAAGTCAGGATGGTGATGGCCCTCAATCGGGGTAGGGAGTGGTGACGAGAAGGAGACACAAGGTGGCTTTCAAGTACTGAATCTCAAGCTGGGAGCTGGTTACCTGGCTTCTTAACTTGTATATGGTCCACTTAATAAAGACCCATACAGCTAGACACCTATGATATGTGTCTTTATGTATATTATGCTTCAGTAAAAAGTTTATTTTTAAAAATTGCTTGTATGGAGTTTCAGTGCTTGCAGGAGTGAGGGCGTGAGTCTGCCAGAGCTGCCAGGACAAGGTGTTGCAGACTGAATTGTTCCAGACGACAGAACTCACGCAATTCTTTCCCTCCCTTCTTCATCTTTCTTTCTTTCCTTTCCTCCCTCCGTTTATTTCCTCAGATGGAAAAATCCACTCGACTAAGAAGCCACTGCATGCATTTTTTGGGTTTGCCTGGCCAAGTTAGCTGAGGAGCAGGGGAAGGGGTGGACTTTCCTGTCCTCAGGCTTTGGGGCTGGGTGCTTTACGTTTACCATGGAACCTGGATGTCAAGAGCTGAGGCTCCTTGGGGAGCAAAGT